GTCTGACAGAAAGGCAGTGAGCAGCAAACACACACTCAGAACAGGGGGGCTCAGTGCGAGTACACACACACACACAAAGTACAAGGCAGGTTTAAAGCAGTGACGCATTAGTAAAGCTACGTGTGGAAAGTACATTTCACTCCATTTACATGTGGAGTAGGTCAAATAAAAAAGAGAATTTACACTGTACAATACATCATTTTCTAACTAAAGGGAGAGAGAAGGTGAGGAGCTAGAACTGCTCAGAGAGGAGGTCACACAGTCTCTGAGACACCGACTCCCTGCTGGTCCTCAGCGTCAGGCGGTACATCTGCAGGGGGACAGCATAGTTACACAGAGACATGGGGGGGGGGTACTGCAGAGCCACGGTTATTACACTAAACTATTAAACTTGTGTTTTTAAGTATGTATTTGATGCCCCTTGTAGCACTTTGGGATTGCTTTTAGCAATGAAAGGTGCTTTACAAATAATTACTATTATTATTATTGTTATTACACTGCTTAGTTTAATACTAAATTCTGATGGCACATTTGGACACTCCAGAGGTCTGGTAGGAGAACACACCGTTTCTGAGAAGGATCAAGGGACCATGTGCAGTCGTATCAATCGGCAGAAAGAAGTCTGGACAATGTCAGATGTCATGTCAGCTGTGGACAACCCACATTAGTATTCTCCATCGAAAAGCACCATTCTTTTTTAATATTCATTTTCATATTTGTGGAGAGCACGAAGCTTTGGATCCATGATGCTGTCGCCGCAGTTTAGTGAGCGTGACGCAGTGGAACACACTTCCTTTATGAGCGGAAGCAGTATGATCATTTTTAAATCAATGAAATCCTTTTAAATCAATATTGTGAGTCAAGAGTTTGGTTTATTTAGTGCGTAGCCATGTAATAAGCGGGATAATGTGCAGCGAGGCGGTCATTAATAAAAAAAAGAAGGGCCACAAGGTGAGCAGAACCATCTGATCTGCTCCCCCTGTGGGTGTTCTGATCATTACAGGTTCTACAAAGGTGGTTATCAACTCAAGCTTTCTCCCCCAGGCTCTGTGAGCCGTCACATCAAAGGGGGCGCTTGATGCGTCATTTGACTCTTTTACCATACCAAATGGCTTGTTTAGACTTCCGCCTTATAATATCATTAGAAACAGATTACGGCAGACAGCGTGTTGCTATACATAAGATGGGAAAGCTTTCAGAAATGTACTACTCGTTTAAATTCACAAGTAGTAATATATATTGAATTCACCACTCGTTGAAATATGTATCTTCATTTTATTCCAACATATATTGCAAACCCACTTAAGGTTGATGGAACAAAACAAGGACAGGTGTGTGAGTGTGTGTGTGTGTGTGTGTGTGTGTGTGGGCTGTACCCGAATATTCGACTATTCGTTCGTTGGCCAACTATTCGGGTTTCAATGAAACCCGAATAGTTGGCCAACGAACGAATAGTCGAATATTCGGGTACAGCCCACACACACACACACACACACACACACACTCACACACCTGTCCTTGNTACATTTACAACATAGGTAGTCCAAATGTTTGGATCGTATGATGAATACGATATGAATACTGGGCCGTTTTTGGGCAGACAGGGATGTAAACCCCTCCTTCACTGGTTGGTGAGTGTGATATTTCATGTTTATTTTGTCCTCTTCTCTTCTGTAACTTACTCTGCAGATCTTAGGTTTTGGGGTAGCTCTGCTCTCTGGGGTGGATCCCAATCCTGCAAACTTTGTGGGAGCTGGAGTCATTCACACCAAGAACACTCAGGTGGGCTGCCTCCTCAGGCTGGAGCCCAACCCACAGGCAGAGGGACACACACACACACACACAAACACACACACACACACACACACACACACACACACACACACACACACACACACACACACACACACACACACACTCACTCTAGGGCTGACCCGAATACCATTTTTCGGGCTCCGGATATTCGGTAGTAATCAGCAGCGAATATTCGGTGCGGAGAGATTTGTATTTTTTTTTTATACATTTTTTTTCCAAAAGGTTTCATAACACGCTCCGAATTCGAGACACCTGACAACACGCAGAAGTTAAGCAGAAGCGCAGAAAGAGCATAAGAGCAGAAAGAGCATACTATTACGATTTTTATTTATTTATTGTCTCAGTACTCGCAAACATTAAAACTAAATGTGTCCTCTGCATTTAACCCAGCCGCAGTGCAGCGCCCGGGGACCAAATCTGGTTCCAAATTCCGTCTATAACATTTTACAACCTGAACAGTCAAACAAAGATACAAAACACATATTTCTGTTATAACAACAATACTTTTAATAATATAGCCGTAACAGTAGGCCTAACAGGGTCATACTTGTTACCTTGTTACCTACTTGTTAAATTAAAAAACTAATATAAAAAAACAATTCGGTTGCTTGCTTGTAACTATTTTCCAAGCAAAGTAAGTGCACGTTTTTATCATGTGTAACGTTACTGTTTAAACGGCGGATAAAGCAGCTTCATCATGGCAACTTGACAACAGCTAGGCTAAGCTAGTCTACTACTTACAGCATCAAGGTGACTTTTCAGAGTTGTTGTGTCACCGTGGTAGGCCAGTTTCTTATCGCATATTTGGCACACTGCCTTCTTCTTACCGTCGTCCAATTTAAAATGGTCCCACACAGCTGAAGTCTGCGGCATTTTGTGGGTGAAGCGAGGTGAAGCGTGCCGTTTGCGTTCCTGACTGTGAGTGAACGCGATGTCAGGAGCACAGGCTGAGATTGTATATATTTCCGCATTTTAACAGTGCAATTCAAAAGTATAAATATAGTATAAGAATATGGCAATTCGCCTTTATTGATAGCATACATTTAGAAGAAA